AGGCGGCAGGAGCGCCCGGGAAGCGGCTCCCGGGCGCGGCTTCCGGCCCCGCGGCGGCGGGCGGGGCCCCTCGGCCCCCGCGGGGTCGCCGGACCCCCCCCAGCCCGCGCTCCGGGGGTTCCCCTGCGGCCACGTGCTGAGCGCGGCCCCTCCCTGCGGTCCCCAGGGTGCCCTTGGGGTCCCCAGGGTGCCCTTAGGGTGCCCAGGGTGGCCTCGCGCCCTCCAGGCTGGGGTGCGTCCGCTCCTCAGTGCTCCAGGACAGTCCGTGGGGTCTCCTGGGTGGCCATGTGCCCACTGGATGTCCCCTGCCCCATGACCAGCTGTGCCCAGGGTCCATGTCCCAGCCAGGCTGGCTGCTGTCCCCACCCTGCCACCCCGAGCGTATCTGCAGGGTCCCCAGGGCAGCAAGACCTGGCCAGGTTCCGCATTGTCCCCTCCCTGCTGCTCCCAATGCGTCCTCGGGGTCCCCTCGATGGCCGTGTCCCATCCGGGCTGGGTGCTGTCCCCTCCCTACTGCTCCTGGGGTGCCCATGGGGTCCGCGGGGTGGCCCTGTCCCATCGAGGCTGGGAACGGTCCCCTCCCCGCTGCCCCCGCGGGGTCCTCGGGGCGGCCGCCGAGCCGGGTCCCGCGCTCCCTCCCCGGCGTCTGGGCGAGCCCCAGCTGTGCCGGGAAATCAGCCCTGTCTGCACCAATTTCAGCTCCTCTTTGTTTCCTAATCCGCCTTGGCCCTCGGCCTGGCGCTCCCTGCGCTCCTGGGAAGCGGCTCTCCGCCCGCCGGAGCGCGGGGTCCCGCCAGGAGCCGCCGGCGCGGGAAGGCCCTGCCCGGAGGCCACGGGCACCGAGGCTCCTGCCCGGAGGCCGTGGCCGCCGAGGCTCCGCGCCGCTGCCGGCCGCTGCCTGCGGGTCCGGTCTGGTCTCCTCCGTCGTTTCCTTCGCCCCTGTCCCAAAGTGGGGGACGAGCGCTGGCTCCTCCCGCCGAGGTCGGGCCGCGGCCACCAGCTGCTGCGGCTCCCGCGGTGACGTGCGGTGGCCCCACGGCCGCCGTCCCGCTCGGACGGAGCCCCCGCGCTGCCACGTGTCCCCAAGGGACTGCTGGGGACACCCGTGTCCCTGGACTTTGGGCTGAGAGAAGGAGGCCTCATCTCTGCGGTGGCAAGTGCCACTGCACTGTCCCCAAGAGGGGCACAGGGTGCCCCGCGTCATGCAGGGAGAAGACATGGCCTTCTAGGTGCCATGGGTGGCCCTGGAGCCCCCCAGCTTCGCTCTGGAGGGGCGGCAGGACACGCGGCTCCTGTCGGGCACCTGGTGCTGCCTCCGTCCGTCCCAGCACGGGTGGCACTGGGCCGGGAGGTGCCGTCGGAGGCACCCGGACAGCGGCGACGCCGCGCAGGGGGGCGGGCAGCTGAGGGGTGACCCCCGCGAGCGCGATGCCCTCATGCCAGGGGTCCCCGGGAGCCGCCGTCGGCGCCGCTCCGCGCTGAGCTCCCGGATCTGGCCGCGAGCCCAGCCGCAAACAGCCTGGGGCCAAGGCGGCGCCCGCAGGTGCGGCCCGGGCGACGGCCGCGCCGGGCACCGCAGGGCCCCCGGGGCACCCACAGCCGCCGTCCCCGCTCCGGGTGCTGGCAGGGAGCCGAGGAGCCGGCTCCAGCGGCGCAGGAAGCAGCCGGGGCTCCTTCCGCGCGGGCACGGCCGATAAGGCCCCGCCGCGGGCACCATGCGGCGGGGGGCGGCTGCTGCGTTTCCCATGGGTGTCGCCGCACGTCCCCCCTCCGTGTCCCTCTCCTTCATGGGCTCCTCGTCGCTCACGTCCCCCGTCCGCGCTCGCAGAGGCCATGGCGAACCGGGGACCGTCGTACGGGCTGAGCCGCGAGGTGCAGCAGAAGATCGACCGGCAGTACGACCCCGAGCTGGAGCAGGTGCTGGTGCAGTGGATCGTGGCGCAGTGCGGCGGCGGCGACGTCTCCCGGCCCGAGCCCGGCAGGGACAACTTCCAGCAGTGGCTCAAGGACGGCACCGTGAGTGGGGACGGGGACGCGGGGGGGACACGCGGCGGGGGGGCCCGCGGCATGGCTGACGCGCGCGGCCGTGCTCTGCAGGTGCTCTGCCGCCTCATCAACAGCCTGCACCCGCGCGGCCAAGGCCCCGTGGCCAAGATCCAGGCGTCCAGCATGGCCTTCAAGCAGATGGAGCAGATCTCGCAGTTCCTGCAGGCCGCCGAGCGCTACGGCATCGCGGCCACCGACATCTTCCAGACCGTGGACCTCTGGGAAGGTGAGCGCCGTGGGGACGGCGGGCACGGGAACGGGGACGGCGGCGGGCGCTGAGCCGCGCGGCGCCTTGCAGGGAAGAACATGGCATGCGTGCAGCGCACCCTCATGAACCTGGGCAGCCTGGCGGTCACCAAGGGCGACGGGCTCTTCGTGGGAGACCCCAACTGGTTCCCCAAGTAGGTGGCCGCGCGTGGGGGACGCGGGCGGGCGGGTGGGCGGCACCGGGCTCAGCCGCCGCCGTCCCGCAGGAAGTCGCAGGAGAACCGGCGCGTCTTCTCCGAGGACAAGCTCAAGGAGGGGCAGAGCGTCATCGGGCTGCAGATGGGCACCAACCGGGGGGCGTCGCAGGCGGGCATGACGGGCTACGGGATGCCCCGGCAGATCCTGTGAGCGCCCCGCGCCGCCGCCGCCGCTGCCTTCGTCCCCCTCCTCCTCCTCGCCGGCCCCGCCGGGGCGGCCCTTCTCCTGCCTCGCCGCATCGCCACGGACCAAACGCCTCTGGGACCAAAGTCTTGGTTTTCTACTTTTTGCCTCTTTTTTATAGTCGCCTCCGGGGTTTTTTTAACAGTGGCCGTGCCCCCGGCCCGCGCGCAGGCCCCCGTGTCCCCCCCGCCGTGTCCCCCGCGCCGGAGCAGAGCTGTCGCCTCGCCGGGCCCGCGGCCACCGCAATAAAGCGCCTGTCGCCTCTACAGCCGCGTGGTGGCATCCGGGGGGGAGAGGGGACAAGTGACACCGGCGTGGGGTGACAGGCTGGGTGCAGCGGGTGCCAGGCTGGGCACACAGGGTGACACGAGGGGACAGGGCGGCGGGGCTCCTGTGCACATGTGAGCAGGGGGACAGCGCTGGACACAGGCAAGGGGACAGGGCAGGGCCGCAGGGACAGCGTGCGCAGAGGGGCAGGGTGACGTTGATGGGGTACGGGTGTCAGGCGGGTGACGCGGCTGCACCCACACAAGGTGACAGGGCAGCACATGGGGAGGGCGATATGGCCAGGCACACAGGAGCAGGGTGACACTGCTGGGCAGGGTGGCAGGCAGGGTGACATAGGTGGTGTACAGCTGTGGGCAGGGTGGCACAGCTGGGCACAGCTGGGCAGGGTGACACTGAGGGTGTGCATATATGGGCAGCGGGACGGGGCTGCACAGGGGGAGGGTAACACGGTGCACAGATGTAGGCAAGGTGACAGGGTTACCCCTGGACAGGGTGACAGGGTTACCCATGGACAGGGTGACAGGGCTACACGTGGACAGGGTGACATGGCCGCACACGGACAAGGTGGCACAGCTGGGCCTGGGGAGGGCGACCCCACGTACAGCTGTGCGCGGGTGACCCGGCTGGGCACGTGGGCAGGGGACACCCGTGGGGGGTGACGGGCTGACGCGGGGGTTGGGGACACTCGGGGACAGCGCGACAG